ATGATTCCTTCCATCCTGCCAGAAGCCACGTGCAAGCTTCTACTTCGGCCAGCTGACGACCATCATGGCGGCACCGGTTGCCAATGGAAATCAGCTGTCTCTACCATCCATTATCCTTCCGTCCTTCTATCCTCTAGGTATGTCCCGGGGATACACGGGAAACAATGCCAGCAGGATGATATTGTACAGTATCCAAGCCAAGAAATCGTCTACGCTCGGATATTTCATATCGACCATAAATTCTCGATATCATTACCTTTTCGTTACGTAAATTTGACAAAGTCTCAAAAACGCATATCGTCAAGAAAAAAATCCAGTTGTAAATATTCCATAGTAAAATGTCATACCTGCATTGCACTAGTAGGATCGAACGTTTCGAAATAATACATAAAAATTTATCATAAAGTGATACTTCGGCCTGGTCGATTATTATCGTCAGATAACCGTATTCCAACTGCGACAAGGGCCTTGACTCCAGGAGTTACTAGGACAATGAACTAGAACTACGCCTATATGGACGCTACAAGATACAGTAGCTTACCGCCCCGTCAAATAGAATTTCTACAGCGCTGCATCCAGTTACGTAATTTTGCTCTGGGATATATATATATATATACCCACAAGAAAAAATTGCGCTACAAGTCCATTTACGAATAATAATACAGGACCGACAAGGTTCAGGCGATAAGCGCCGTAGAAATCCATACGATATTTACACAGCGTACCAGGTATCTACAGTCCGAGCGAAACGGTACCTGCAAACCTACCCTTTAACGAAGGGCCCAAAGAAGGGTAAAATGGCACGGCAAAGAGGGCAGGTGGGACCGTAATGCTCCAACTCTCTCATCCAGCAATGTAACCCAAGGGGTAGGTATATCCAATTATTAAAATTCGAGGGTTTTATCGCCTTCGATGAAATACCCATAGAAGGTATAGGGATCCAAAGTTCGTCCTACAGTGCCCACGTCTTTTGATCCCTTAAAGGGACAAGCAAGCTACCCTCGGCCAAGTATCAGGGTTCCTAGTTTCCGGCTACGGGCTATTGGCCCCAGTGGGATATCGGATGCGCTACGTAGTTTCGTGGAAATGCGCATTCAAGGCACAATAAATAAAAGGCCCAATCGGCCTACGTGAAATTACATTGCCGATACGCGGACAGCCTTGTGTCAATGAAACGTTCGTATGGTAAACGAATGGTAAAGCGAAGTCGACCTTAAGCCTGATTCTTATGGTCTCTATATGTTCAATGTCGTCCATCTACCTCGTGGTCATTGTACCATGGAGGTGCTATCTGTTGGGTCCAGCTGCATCCTCGGTTATATGTAGCGAGGATCCCCACTATAGAGGTAGACGTTTATGCTACTCCGGGCTCCGAACCTGACAAAAGCCGACCTTCGGGCTGACATTCACTCCACGTCCTCTCTCTTTCTCTCTGCCCCCTGTCCCCCGCTCCGCCCTTCTCTCTACGATCTTCGCTTCCTCTCGCTCTCTCTCTCTCCCCGTCTCCTTTCTTTCGCCTGAACTCGTCTCTCCCTCCCTTTCTCTTTATTTCTTTCTCTACCGAGTCGGCTCGGGGCCCTACAGTCATCTTGGGACTGGACCCAGCCTCTGCCAGGCACAAAGACCCGTCGTTCCAGCCAACTCCCCGCGGGTGTCCTTACCGGGAATACTTTTGGGCCCTTTTTCAAAACCATAGTCCAAATCCCTCACGAGGATCTTTTGGGACTTATGCTAATGATTTTCATACATTTTTTTTTTTCTTTTTTTTTCATAATAATTTTTCCTCGTTATCCGTACGGGAGAGTCGATCCTTTCAGGAAGTCACTCCGATCGGTTTTGATACAGGACGATCGTGTCCCGGAGAAAAAGTACCTACAGTAAGGCCCAGAAGGAGGGGGCCCCGACCTCGGGATATTCATGGAGAATGGCCACGAGCGCCAATGAGGCTTTTACGTGCGTTCTCTTTGACGAATTCGACCGGCCGACGTCTTTCTCGTGTAAACGAGCAGGTCCGGGTCGTTGCTTTTGCCGTTCGGGTTGCTTGTCAATGGGTGAATTGGGTATGTGTGTATATGGCAACTTTGGGATAAATCTGTAAGCAGGTCCCATCGGTGCCCGGGCCACGCAGTCGTGGACTGTGTGTACGAGACTCTTTTTTTTTTTTTTGTTTTTTTTTCCGACGAGTATATGAAATACGAAACAGCGAGGATTTTTATCAAATGAAAATTCATAATCCTTTCTCCAGACTTAATCCCGTATACGACGTGCAATGTAGTACAGTGGAAATTATTAGGAATAACGTATACCAGTATTGCTAATTAAATACGTGACTCGTGTCACTGGATTTTAATTAATATCGCTGGACGATTTTGGACTGTCAGACAATTTTTCACTCTGAAAATTTATATTCATCAATATTCACTCTCGCGATTCGCAATATCGTTTTGTAAGTCGGGCATTTTTAATTACTCCTCAGATTTGCATACAATGCAAAAGTTATTACATTGCAACGCTATACCCGAACTTTAGTGCGTTGAATATTTTTTTTTTTTGGGTTTGCGCCATGTATAAATTTTTTGAATATTTTATGTATGAGCTGACTTCGAATTGAATCGAGATCTTGATTGAATCGATACTGCAAAAAAAAAGAATTTTAGAAAACAAGACTCGTACTACTAGGACTGTACGTTGCTTTGAGATTTTCTTATTTTCCCAGAGAGTACGTAGTGGAGGTATATCTTCCGTGCCCTTACGAGTCTTGGATCTCAGGTCGGGATTCAGGTGGGATCTCCGCTTTGTCGACTGTCCAGAAGGTTTAAGGTCGGACACGGTAGACCTTAAGGATTTCGTTTACCTGTCCGAATAAAAGGTCCGCATTGCCTATGTAACAGTCTACAGAATTACATCTGAGTAAATACATGTTCTTTCGTGAGCACTGTACTACGTTCGCAAAGTATCCATAGGATATATACAGTTTGAATAAAAAAATTTTTTTTTCCTAATTTCCAAAACTCTTTCTCAACTAAGTTTTGCATTCGTATAACCCGCATTAAGCAACTGCCATACGCAATCTGACAATAGACCAGACGCGGTGAAAGTTGTCAGTCGATATACCAAAGGTATTCAAAAAGTTCCAGCAACATGCTCATGAGCAATGCAGCAAGGCCCTTCAAGGTGTGCCGGAAACGCCATAATCGGCGTACACAGCAACTCGACCAGACTGACTCGTATCATTAAAAAAAAAGCACATTCCTCTTTGGATAATGACGAAATAAAAAAAGGCGAGCAACGTACAGACACTGTGAATATTTTTAAAAAGTCAAAAATAAAAAACAGCAATATCAGCGTATACGGCAGGGCGAATAAAACGGTTACATTGCTTCTTCAATGGGATGGGAATGTAATTTTAGGTGTGCGTATACATGTATATATATGAGCAAAAGACACTTATGTTGGCCGACAGACCTTCGGCCGATCACAGTTCGTCCGTCCTTTCACCTTTCCCTCCGCCGTCGTAGCATTTGTCATTCCATTTGGTTCAGACCTTAAAGCAACTTCCTTTTACCTGGAGCTTCGGACCCGGGTTGAAACGAAGGGCCCCGTTGGCACCGTCTGGGACCGTGAGTCCCAAGGTCCCTAGCTCCGTCCCTCCGTTAAACTTTCCTGCGATGATATAGTCGCTTCGTTCTACGTTCTATCGCGAACCCCAACACCGAAGTTCCCTTCTTCTTCCTTTGCCTTCGATATATACATTGCTTCGATCTACGAGTCCACATTCACTTTCCCCATTGCCGTGTTATTTTTCTGGCATCTTATACCCGTCTTTACCCTCTTTTTACACGACTCTATTTCTCATTGTCACGTATACAAGTCTATTATATATATTGCGCCTTGTATACAAATTTTCCTGACTCGTTCATACGACATTAACGAGACGCCATCGATCCAAGTTATAAATGGTTATAAAAATGCGTCTTGATACAATTTACACGAGTATTGACAGAAATACACGTGTGAACGACGTGTGTTTGACTATTGCATGCCCTTCCACTTACAAGTTCCTTAAGCCAGCGTGCAGTGTAGTAGACGTGTAGCTGGTTACTTCTAGGCTGCCGTTTCTTAAATCGTGCTCGTTCCTAATTTGGATTACCAGGAACATACGGTGTACAGTATATACGTATACAGTGCTACCGAACAGTAAAATAGCCATCGAGAGCCGTTTTCAATTCAACCGTAAGGAGTCTAGTCCGGTGCGAAGCTGAAATTCGGCAATGGCAGTGCATATGCAATGTACTAGCACGAAGCACTGTATAGGGTTATATACTGGCGAAAAGGAGTCACTGCGAAACTCTAGTTGGCACGAGGGTTGTTCCCCTACCGTGTATATCCCCATATCGTTTCTCTAGGTACAGTCGGCGCGCTGACGATGGTTAATAATGGTGGGTACGTTCAGACCGGTAGCAAAAGCAGGAGCGCAGCAAGACGGCAAAGTAAAAGTGCGGCAGCGTATACCCGGTGTACGTATCCCCCTCCGGACTGTACGCGCTGCAGTGTGTGTCGCGGATCGGAGAGACTGTACTTTTATGTTGCTATCCCCACTGGCGTAGGTACAGTGGCATGCGCGTCTCGACTCGACGGAGGTTCGCCGTCCCTCAGTCACCGCTGGGCCGTCGCCGAGGCAGCACCGATGCTCTGTCTCGTATTTTTCGTATGTTCGCGTGGCTTTACCAACCTTTAATTATTGATGTCTGGTGCGGCACGAAACCACTTTATTTGTGAACGACGCGGAAAGCGACATTGCCAGTATACGCGGGCAGTGGTGTTGTGCGCGACTAGTGCAATAAAATTAATAATCCGAAATCGTTATAATATCATTGGTGCGCGCTCCTTGGATATACGTACGCGATATGGATTGGGCAGTTAAGGCACGACGAACGTAAGTCCTACGATGGCTTATTATCTGTTATAAATTGTGCAGTGTTGGTTGTGTCTCTTGTTACACCGTAAATCCTTGTACCGAGGGCTCTCTTCCGTCAGATATCGTTGTCGTACATGTAACTTTTACGTATCCGTGTACGGGAGCAACCCTTTGTTTCCATGTTAAGCTTTGTCTTCAGCCTGTACCCATACGACTGGAAGGATCTGCAAGGATGTGCAGAAAGGATCGAAGTGCGAAGGAGGAGAGCCCTCATGAGTGTAACATGTGCGTTCCGTGAGTGAATATAATTATAATAATTAATGGATAAACGAATTTAGGCTCTTTGTATACATACGATGCTCCGATTTACAGTCGGAGGACGGTTAGGGCTTGATTGCATCAATAAGTGTGATTCTTGCGTACTTCGCCGTGCAGGCTGCATTGCCGTTGAGTTGTGGGATCGTGTGTGAATATATATTGTTTATGGAGTTTATGCAAGCGTGCGTAATCGTGCGTGAACTTTCGTACCCGTGCTGTATCGAAAGCACGAGGAACTACTATCGTACTGATTAGAAGCGCTATAGAGTATATCTATATATGCATTGGTTTTACGTGTACGATTCCTTACGGACTCCGATGCTCGAACAAAGGGCTCTTTATGTTTCGACTGTAAGGCTTCTGGATAGAAAGGAGTCCTGGCGTGTGTTTTTTTTTACACTGCTTCGGTTTTCGTAGACGTCGGTCTGTCGCCAACGACGGTTAATCCGATTAGGACGGCGAGTCGTTCGATTGTGGTAAAATACGACGCGAGCTGTGAGAGGGAGTGTGAGAGAGAACGAGATGGCGATGTAGAAAGAAAAAGGAGAGAGAAAAAAAATGCAAAATGTCGTCAAATACTCGGGCGCGGCATTGTTTGTCATCGATGATGACATTCCAACTGAAACCGTCGGGCCACTTTCCAACGAGCGACAACTTCGAGATCCGATTCTCGTTGCGTTGACTCTTTTAAATTTTTCGAAAGTCCTGTATGCTTCGTGCTTGAAATTTTCGTTCGCGTGGGAAACTCGTCGTACGGCCGTGCATGGAAACGCATCCTCGTGAATCACCGACGCTCTCGTGGAAAATCTATCGAGAGACCCGTAAAAGGATCAGGGTGTCAAGTATCGTACGTGTTTCACAAACACGTTTAATTAGCACCAAGGATAAAGAGACGGGTCTGTGCCTCCGAGAGAAGAAAATAGTTGACGAGGGAGAAGAGAGAAAGAAAAATTGAAATAAAAATCAAAAACTCTCGCAGTCTCTAACTCGAGTCGGGACACACGTGTGTACAAAGATGGCCGCACCGATTTGGCCAGGCATGATTTTTCTATCGAAGCAACCGAATCGCCCCGGGATACCAGAATCGATTTCTGATCTGGCTCGATCGTGCTATTGCCAGGAAGGGAATATAGATCGAATCGATTGAGCCTTCTTTGGATATACCTCATTGCCAATTACAACGCTAGGAACTGAACCTTCGTAATTGTGACGCTTTTACCAACTTACCAATACGTGGACTTACGGTACCTATAGCGGGCAGTGGTTTTACCTGGAAATATGTAATCCGGGCATAGTTCGCTCGAAGCCAGGTTGACTATGAGCAATTTCAAAGGTCCGGTCGTTACGGAAAAATTACGCGCAAGGATGGTTATCCGTACAATCCGTTACTCGATTGAAATCAGTAGACTTTTTCAAGGCCGATAACACTCGCGTTTTGAAGTAACCTATCGTGACTGCAACTACAGTCCGTTTCAACTTCCTAAAGCCAAAGCATCATGGCCGCTGGCTCGACTGCACCGCATAACTGGTTTGAAGGGCCGTTTGCCTCAAAATTCCAAAGTAGTGGCAGGACGTTGCCTGCCTGCCAGCCTGCTTACCAGACCCGGCTGCCTCGCAGTTGGTAAGACTGTCAGTCTGCTGCCACGGGCTTTATCCCTTCGAACTTTCCTATATTAATTCTTTTAGTCAATAACAAAATTAAGTTTTTATCCCACATATTCAAAAGTGACCATCGACACACTACTTATCGATGCGCTTTATCTTTAATTCAAAATTCAAGCAATTGTCACCTACAGTGCTTCCGAGGATTGCAAAGCCAGTATATGGACGTCTCGAAGTACATAGCAGTTTTGCATTACCAGCCACGTGTGTGCCAGTCTTTGGTAATTAAATACCCGACGAATGAATAACGCTTCCTCTTTTTGTTATTTTCCTTTATTCTCTCTCTCTCTCTCTCTCTCTCTCTCTCTCTCACTCTCACTCTCACTCTTCTCCTCGAGCCACGTTCTTCGCTCTGCTCTTTCGTTATACTCGCAAATTCGCGACCTCGAAGCGCGTCTGCTGGCCAGACAGCTCCACCGTACCGCTCGACTTACGTTATGCATAGGCGGTCGGGCAACCGTATGCAAATCCCTTTGAGGATTCGTAATGCGAAAAAGGAATCAATTGATTCGAAGTAACACGGGCTATGGAGATTCCGATTGATCTTTTTCTTTTTTCTTTTTTTTCCTTTCTAGCCTCGCGCTTCTGTTTCAATCGCGACGGAATAATCTATGAGGAATCGATACGTCGTGTCTGCCTTGTTTAATGTATTGACTTATTTTATTAACACCTGATCTACTGTATCCTCTCGTGACACTCTCGACATTTCTTTCACTCCCGTCTCACTCTTCCTCTCGCCGTATACGCCAACGCAAACGTGCAACGCCACTCGTTAACTCGCTCTCGTATCTTATCGTTAGACTATTTGCCCACCTAACTCGGACGTCTTTTACCTACCTGCCTACTCGTCGAGCAAACGGAGACAAAAACAAGAACTGACGCTTATCGTATTTTTTTCTTTCAGACTGGGCCGTTTTGTACCGAGCAAAAATGAAGACACGAGGTATCGATTCTCAGGCATTCTCATATTATTTATCTTGTGCGGGAGGACTATTGATTTTCAAAATAGCAAAAAAAAATCACACAACACATACATATATATATATATGTATAATTTTTATCGCGAATACGCTTAGTATCGGAACTACGATATGTAGACACACATTACGGGCGCTGCTTGGAGGCTAATTTTTATACGGGCCTGTACATATACATATATATCGTTATACGTGTACGCGTGCTCGGAGATCCAGAAACAAGAGTCTCATGGGAACCCAATTGTCGCGCAGCTCGAAGCACATTAAACTCCATTTCGTAGGAGCGTCAACTACGCGGAGGCGGGTTTATTTGCAAATGGAAGTAGCCTTACTCCAAACTGTTAGTTAGTTGCGCTTGTACTATTGTCTGCTTATACACGCATATATACACGTGGGTGCGCGCGTCGAGACTGTGTCGTCATCGGAGCAGCTGTTTTCATTCAACGTCGCCCTTCTTTCTTAGTTAGCGACTTCCTCTGGACGACGGCTTAATTACGCCATGTCGTAAGTTTCTTTTAGCTCTTTCATTGAGAGCACTTCGAGAGGATAAGATGCACGAGAGTGACCACTGATCATTATACAAAGTGAAATAAGACGGAGATGCGCGCATCTCCCGGCGGATGGGGGTGAAGAGGAGGGGGGGGGGTAGATGGGAGTGACGTATGACGAAGTCGCGACAGCACGGCGACCATACGTAAAGACGTCTTTTACGTCGTGCGATAGTTTCTCGAGAAATTTGGACGTTACAGATATTTTTTTTCTCTTTGATTTGTCAATTAAAAAAAAAAATATTTTTTCGTAAATTTTTTTTTTTTTTTTTCGGCTGGCCGCGTCACCGGGAAACGAAACAGTTCGCTCTCGTTCGTGCCAACCATCCGGATCGAAAGAACTTTTGGAAGGGTAGGGCGTTCCCGGCGACGCCCGGCGTCTCCCAACGTTCCTACGTAACCCTGGCGGAACTTGAGAAAAGGATCCAGCCTCCGGTCGAGCGTGAAGATTGATTCTGCGACTTTGATTGAATGGCTGAGAGACTCTCTAACCTAACCCGAGCCCAAGCTAACCCGCGTATACGCTTTCCAGGTCCCTGCATTTCTTCGGCCACGTTCGACCGATATATTCGAAGTCTTAACCCGCGTGTCTACGTTCTCTATTTTTCGTCAGTCCACTCTCGTTTTTTCGCGCCGATCTTCTCTCGTTGCTCCTCCCTTTCGGCAAATCCTAATAAGATTCCGGGAACAGGTGAAGCTGCCTGGAAACTCGCTCCGGCGCCGCCAACTGGGCTTCATCGAATCTTCATTTCTCGTTCAAGGTCGTATCTCGTATTCTCGGCCCAGAGCCAATGCGCTCGATCTCCCCCCCGAAGCCTTGGTCACGGTCCTGACCAACCAGTGCCGTACCACCTTCGGGGCACCTAGAATAAGTCCATCACGCCTTTATACCGATATTCGCGGTTGGGCGTGTCAATTGACTGCACTTGGGGATTCGCTCGTTAAATATTTTTTGATTTTCAATCAAACTCTCGAATGACGGACGGCTCGGAGTCGATCGGCTATTCCCTTGTACCCGCAGTGTCTGGCGGACGAAGAAACGTCAGCCGGGCGAATCACCAGCCGCGGATTTACATTTGAAAGTCAAATATAATCGGAATAACGTAATACCGTGGAATCTTTTCTTTTTTTTTTTCCTTTTTTTTTCATGGGCATCATCGGTCAAACGCTTCTTCCTCGCTTTCTAACGATTTTTGCTTGTACCCGAATCCTCATGCTTGACCTTCGACGTCGATTATGGAATTTTGATAAATTATTTTTCTCTAACGACTAACGAATTGCGCTAGCGATACTTTCTAAAACTAAGACTTGACGATTGACAAAATTACGATAAAAAGCGGCTGCTTGAAATTTGTCTTATGCAAATTTTGCTGTTAATTATTTTTTTTTTATTTTTAATGACGATCTATGTACAGTCGACTCTGTGTGTGTGTATATATATATATAGGTCGTTGTCCTTCTCCCTTCTTCCACCTCTTCTTCCTCCGTGCTTTTAGCTTTTCTAATGTCACGCCTACGCTCTAGCCACACTTCCTGGCTCCTCTGCCTTCCGTACGACATTAAAATCAGCCTTAAGCTTCTATTCGTATCCCTCGACTGCGAAACTCTCGTACACCGACCGAAAGACGCGCTTCTCTAGCGCGTTCGACGCGCTTTTGATGATTCTTTGAAGAAAAAAAAAGCCCTCGCGCACGTTGCCACGCACTCACGCACTCACGCACGCCCAAGCGCAGGGAACGTTTTTTTTCGTAAGCGACGATAAATATATTACCAAACAGACCGGGCTGCCCGCTGACCCATTTGTGAAACTGCGCGACTCTTGCCACACGAACCTCTCTGCAAAGGTTACAACACTTTACGAATTACGCGGGCCGGCCGACCTGCCAGGGCCGTGCGATGTTATGTCCTGTGCATTATAAAAAAAAAAAAAATTATTTTTCCAAAGGTCAATAAAATCAGATTCCATCGATAATCAATACAAATACGAATTTCAAAGTACATATTTCCACATATTTCAGTTCTACGTATATATACACTCTGAATTTCATATACGATCATACGTGAAAATTTAATCCACGTCACACACGTCCCGTTCGAAAATAATGTATTCCGTGGATTTTGAGAAAATGAGGAAATTCTCGCGTCCGAGGTAAATTTGTCTCTCTGAAATTACCAGTTTCCATCTCACGGACCCACCTTCGATATACAGCTCAATACATGCCTCACCCGTACGTAACGTATGCACGGTACGTATTCAGGTGACTGTAAAAGCATCGTCTGCTTTACATGTTCACGTTTTATTGACGAGCCTCCCAGCGCTCCGAAATCCCATAGAGTGCAGCTGCAAGTGCAACGCACGTTACTTCTGTATTGCGCTGCGAATGCAGGCGCGACGAGAGAAGACAAAAGACACGAGAGACCATTAATTGTCCGCGTGTCACGTACGCGAGAGCACCGGGCAAAAGTCGATTGTCCTTTGTTCGTCCCTGACTGTTCCTGCGGGACCCCGGGTCTCTTCGGGATGACTTTTGGGTACCGTGTAACGATTAACGGGAACGTCGATCATCGATACGTATCGGTCCTTGCTGTATACTTAACCCACGTGTACATAGATACACCGTGAACAACGCGGAAGTTAACGCGGATGTCGTAACACGGTTGTTACCCTTCGTAGAACGAATAGCAACCGGTAATGGCGGCAACGTGTGCCTATCGTTGATATTGCCACGTTGCACGTGTACCGATTATTTGTTATTACCTGCTCGCGTCAATTGTAGTAAAAAATATATATATATATATATATATATATATATATAAGATGTATATAGATATACGTGGTAACTTAGTAGCGTTACGCCTGATGGTTTTTTTTTTAATACGTTGACCCTGAATTTTCAAAAAAAAAAAAATATTACGTTCAGTGCAGCGTCGCGACGCCCTCCACGTTATGCACAGTATGTATAGGGTGTTTATATGTCGGTATTGATACATCGGTCAGAGACCTTCCCGCTGTGTCTGTAAACGGATACAAGCCGTTGACTGATAACGCGTGTATCCATCACCGATAATTGATAACGCAGGAGAGTCATGAGCTTTTCGAAAAGTTTTTTAAAGAAAACTTTGTTGCCCGCGATAAGACGACGTTGAGGTTGAATTTTTGTGGGGGGGGTTTTTTTTTTTGACCTCGCGTTTTTAACGTTACTCGCGGGGTTTCCTACGGGTATCCTTTGTGCAGTTCCTTTCCCTTTGTCCGGCTTCGGGGCCGATGTTTTTAGGGCGGCCAGTACGGGGATGCGGGAAAGGGCGCCGCACATGGATGCACGGTCCTACGTGGTTGGGCCCGTGTGCACGTGTGTACATATGGTCGGAACCCGACCGAACCTCCGTCGAAGGTCATGGGATCGGTTCTAGCCGTAGAGCCGAGGCTTCTAGAAGGTTCCAGACAGACAGACAGACGGGATTCCAGAAAGTCAAGGGATCGTGGAACCCACCGTGACTCAGTCTTCTTTGAATCCTGACCATATGTTCAATTTGGACACAATGATCTCTCGCGATGGACTATCTCCATTTTTAGATACCCATCTACGCCTACCTGCCTTCTCCGTACGTTCCAAAATCCGAACCCAAGTTAACGATCCGAGATTTAAAATCTGCCGACGTGGTTTTAACCCTTCTGGAAAAAAAAAAAAAAAAATCACCCCAATAACCGACCCTCCTTACCGCGCATGTCCTGCACTTCGCAGCGCTGCACTTGGACCAGGCTCTGCGCAGCCTCCACATGGTACAATACTCCCGTATAGACGTTGCATGCGGGTAGGTACAGTTGGGAAACAAGTTTTCCGAACCCGTTCAAAGTTTCCCAGGTACTCGGTCCTTGGGTCGAAGGAAGTTACGCCGAAGCGGGTATAGGGTACGTATCTTCGGGTACTTCCGGCAGTAGCCAGTGGCTCCGAGGAATTCGTCTGATCTACGGCGCGGAGTATTGTCGTCGTGAGATCATTCCTATGAACGGACTTCGTTTATCGTCGACTGGCCATGTACTCTGATCTTGTTCCGTGAATGAACGTTAATTATTGTTACGGACGCAGGCCTTATGGGTCCAGCGGGTCTGTACTTCGTCAATGAACTCGTTCGTTAAACACCGAACGACTTGAACCGAACCCTGATGACTTTTGCGCGCCCAGCGTCCTCCTCGAGAAAAATACGAGAGGACTGGTGGCGCAGATGAGGAACGTCTCGTGGGAACGAGATCTCATCACGATCGTAGATCCGATACCAGGCGACGGGGATGCTGCGAGGATTTGCACGATTGCGACAAAGACGCGACTCCTGAACGATCCTCCGTTTACCCATCGGACTTGGCTGATTGTGATCCTGAACAGATGGGACCCCACTGGACCGGATCGCGCAGCTTCTCT